CAAAAAGGAAAAAAGATAATACAGTCTAAAAAGAACTCAACACCAAAATAGGCCCAATGTGACTCCGGATCTTGATCTATTATCAAATTTTTCTGCTACATGGAATTCACAAAGCATTCAAAGCAAATTAGAAAGAGAAACTACAGCCAAGTGTACCCCACCCAAAGATTGCAGTAATGAACTGAATGTTTGAAAAATGAATCCTATAGTTGTTGCAACAACCAGTATCAAAATCAAATCTACGTTTGTGCATGCCTAACAAGCAGTGAATTTTTCACAATAACTCCTCTGTATTCGGTCAAATTGAAAAATCTTTCAATGGATAAAATTGCTTTGAAGACATTCACATCAAATTCAGGAAAACTGAGGTGGCAGAAATTTCATAACTACCTCACGTGTGAATTCACTGCTCATTACGTATGAAGAAATCCAGAGATGAAACTGGAGTATACAACTATCAACTTCAACCCTTGAATAATAAGTTCATTGATACAATCTTGTGGGTACATTTAAACTGGCTTGACTGTACATTACATTATCATAAATAACTATTTTTGATTTTGATCTTATGATCTACTTTACTGTCAGTGCTATGTACAGTCTTCAAAACCTTCCCAAATATTTAGGAGGCATATTGTTCAATTTATTGCATGGATTTAACTTTGCAAATTCCTTTACACCTGGTAAAATTCATCTTAATAACACTCCTCAAGTGATTTCTTTCCACTTGTAAAGTACTGTTGTTAACTGAGTGTGTGGAAGTTTCTTTTGAATTAAGTAGCTTCGTGAAGGAATATACATGATTCAACTGTGTACCTCAGTTTCACAATGAATTTGCATTACTGTACACTTGACCATAGTAAATATTAAACTTTGTTATTTAGACATTTCTTAATCAGTACTTTTAATTTCTATTATAATAGAAATGAAACTCCACAGACGTTTTGAGGCTGTTCGAGACACTCACAGCAGATAGTTACTTGTTTTATTGAGTCCAAAAAAATTGTTGCACTTTACACCCCAATTTTTTAACACAGTTAATTAAACATTACTGTTCATGCTTTAACCATTACATAAGCAGTCATCCTAGACTATGCATAGTTTTGGCAAAACTTGTAATTTTGATATACTTGTATAAGATCTTAAAATACCGTAGTATGTTGATCCACTGAAAAGTGTTCAATAAAGATAATCTTAAGTTGGCTTAAACAAATTAAGGCAGATATGTTAATAAACATTTGTATAGGTAATAACATGATTTGTAGTGATATTTGGCATTAACCACGAGTAATATTTCAAAATTGTTATATGTAATTTCACCAGCAGTTAGGTGAGTGAAATTTGAGACAATTTTGAAATATCACGTACAAATCATGCTATTATTTGTTTATACGACTACCCACAAATGGTTTGTAATTTTCACATATAGGTATTTCAAATTAAGTTGAAATACTACTGCTCTAAGGCAATCAAATAGCAGAAATTTATCATGTAATAGTGTAAACACCAAAACAAACCTTTTCCTTAACTCACCTGAGATTTAACTTGTGAATATTCAACAGAGTTTGGGTCTACTCCCCAGAGTGACTTTTTGTAGTCATAGCTGATTAGAACAACCTTGTTGATATAAAATAAATTGCCATTATGGACTTAAGGATGGATGTATTAACCCTTTCAGCCCTGCAATCAAGATATAAATTCTCATTTGCTGCATTATAAATTTCCAATACAAACAGTGGGGACAAGTTATTTATGAACAACTAAGATAGTACGCGTGCTCTGATTGGCCAAGAGGCGTGTTTGCATGAGAGTATGTAAACATGGTTGTGATGTCAAGATGTTTAGCTTTTTGTGCGCTAATCATGCGAGCACGAATTTGAACAAGTTTTTGAGTTGAAAACTTGAGAAGTTTACTTTATTTACGTGTTCCCTCATCGGCTGAAACTTGGAAAATCTTTACAAACATGCTGTGTCAAATTTTTTCACTTGGACTGATATTTCAAGTGCAAAAAATCCGTATTTTGGAAAGCATCCTTTTTCCAAAACAAGAACTGATATGCCTGCAATACTTTGTGTCCAAGACTTCACGACTTAGTTGGAATTTCTAAGATATTGCCCCCGTATCATGTAGTTGCTCCATCTCCTCAGAAATTTCTAGCCACTGATCAAATAATTATTTCGGAAAAAAAATGCTTTAAGCAGCTTGGGACGGAAAAAAACCCTAACACATGACTAATTTAACATTTATGTTCAAATCTGTACAAATATTTTTGGAACCTCAAGAACAGAGGGTGGTCTGCCTGTGGTCTTTGCTGGACACATCTTAATCTCGTCTTGATTTACACAAACCTTACCAACCAAACATAATGACAAGTTCTGTTGTCCTAGTGCAAAATGCGTTTAGGCGTCGTGTTAAAAGCTCTAAATTAATAACCTTACTGATTAATATCAACTCACCACCCGAGCTGCCCTTCCAACTCGCACCAAACCATTGGATGTTAATTGACGTTTGACTTCGTCTGGGCCATACAAAACAACACCACATATACCAGCTAAACCAGCGCCAACGCTTGCATACGTCAAAGATTTTAAAAACCGCATTGATTCTATAAAAACAAGAAAACTTTAAGATAACTTTTGCTCTTCAAAGATCTTGTTCCGCGTCAGTTCGCGCTTCGCGCTAGTTACGTAATAGGTATCGGTCAGCAGTCTCTCCAGAAAAATTATACCCGTCATGTAAAATTTTTTTTTCTCCTGTTTTTTTCCTTCTCGTTGAGATCCTGAGGACGAGGTTGGGCATTACTGTTTCTTCGCGGATTTCTTTGCAAATACTAGACGCGGGGCGGGGAAGGCGCTTCCACATCTGGGCTATAACGGTTGGTGGGTATGTGTATGAAGGCCTCTCTGACTGCAAAAGGCTTAGCCACAAGTTGCTCGGCAGCTTTTTGCTATTTGGAGCAACGTTCTGACAACTTCCGCCATTTGGAGCAGCTTTTGATTTTGGGGGCAACTTGATTAAATTTTAAGCAAGGTATGGCAATTTCAAAACCCTAAAATACTTGTTGGGAGGACGATAAATTGTTGCTGCAAATTATATGTCCCCCCTCCGTTTTCACTGAATAATATAGAGTGCCCCTAGGTTACGTTTCAGTTGAAACAAACTGCAAAAAACAAACAAACAAACAAACAAACAAACATACAAACAAGGACTAAACTACAGTTTTGAACACAACACCGAACATCTTGAGATAATTTTTGCCAGTGATTCGAACTCAAGTGGACATAAAAATATGTTTGCATTTTTCTTTAGTAGTTTTAATCACGAATTAAGTTTGATGTGGTGCGCATGGCATCTGCTTTGACAAGGGAATGATCCCCCCATACGCATTTTTCAAATGCCTCCATAATTAAACAAAAAAAAAAAATAAAGTTTTGACGTTGGAATGCTTAAAATGGTCCTTTGAAATATGGCATTTGGTAATTTTTTCTCTTGCAGGGTCTCTTCTCTGAAAGAGTGGAGAGACAAAAATTATATTGTTCTTAGTCTAGGCAATATACCAACAAAAGCACGGCGTGCCGTAAAAGCTAGGCTCGACTGATTACCAGCCTCCATTCGGGAAGGTGAGCCGAGAATCAAAGACCGGACCCGGGAGACGGCGGAAATCGAGCCTACGTAAAAACTGAACGCGTTCTTGCTTAGACTATGATTGGTACCACTAGTTAGTTGATCCCGTCCACACGAATCCAGATATTTTTGAAACCCCGTACTTTTTACATGAATCGGCTTTCCTTCCACACGTTCTCCAGTGAATCCGTTCTCCGAAATCGCATCTTTATGAAAACGCTCTCTACAGAGTTTTTTTTTGTATCTGACGGGTTTGTGAACTCGTATACACGACTCTTATTTCAGACCCAAAAATGTCATTTTCCTCACCCGTTTAAGACCTGGACTCTAAAATCTATACCCCTTTTGCACACCTGGCAAAGGCAGAAATTATGCCATCATTCCTAAGATTAGAACGTCAACCCTGAAAAAGATTTCTTGAAATCCATTTCTAATTCGCATCTTACTCGCGTTCCGTCTTATTCATTTGGAATTGAAACGACAAATACGCTCATACACTCCCGTAGTTCCCTCGAAAAGCATACCCGATTCTAGACTAAAATGGAGAAAGTCTATACCCGTTTTC